CAGGACGGGGAACAGGAAGGGGGAGGGATAGCATTAGGAGATATACCTAATGTAAATGACAAGTTAAAGGGTGCAGTACACCAACATGACACATGTATACATACGTAACAAACCTGCAAGTTGTGCACATGTACCCTAGAACTTAAAGTATAATAATAATAATAAAATGCCAGAATGCCCTTTTTCTTTTAACTAGGAAAAACACTATCTTCTTGATTAGCAATTTAAATACATTTTGTTTAAATCTGACGCTACTAGACTAACAAAAGGTTGTGAAGTTGAGATACTCCAGACAAACTTTATTACACAAATAAGTGTCAGGAGAAGCAGCTATCATTTACTTTGGAAATATTTTTCTCCTGGAACAGATTCTTTCGGTGGGGTGTAAATGATATGCTATTTTTGACCAGAAAAGGAGTACAAAACAAAAACACCAAGAACCATTGTAAGTCAAGAACGAAGGTAAATTCTATAGCAAAAGCCACATTCACACTATCACGAATTCTGAACTGCTACTATTCAAATTAAAAATTTTGCTTAGTTACATCTCCCCAAATCAAACTAATACCAAGGATTTTTTATCGTGATGACTGGTAACTGCTCAGACTAATGTCCTACAACAACAGGTCACCAAAAGTTACAATCTGCCAAAAGTATGTAAGAGTTCCACTTTTCTGTCAAATTGAGTTTATCCTGAAACATAAGTCTTGGAATGTTATGATCACCATATGTGTATAATCTGGAAATATAATTGAATCCTATAGAGTAACTCTCATTATATAAACAACAAAAGAAAACTTTGGAATTAAAATACAGATTTTTTTAAACTCATTTGAGGAGATTATTCATAAAAAAGATTTTTAAAAATCTTTTAAAACAAATTTCATTTAAGTGGAAAGAGGTTGCTAATTTGTAGAAAATGGATGCTGTAGCTGATCAGGTTAGCTGTTAACATGAACAAGTAACCCTCAGTTGATTATCTGCCTTATTTTTCTACTTATTAACATACTCTACAATTAAAAATTATCAAATATTTGTTTTTTAAAGGAGAATTCATTGTCACTCCCTAGGCCATGTTAATTAAGACTGTTAAAATGCCTTGCAGTTACATTACTGAGACTAGCTAATAAAGTTTGGCAAAGTATTTCTTATATAGAACTTTTCATTGAATAGAACTTAATATAACTTGGCTGGGCGTGGTGGCTCATGCCTTTGGGCGCCACTTTGGGAGGTCAAGGCAGGTGGATCACTAGAGGTCAGGAGGTTGAGACTATTCTGGGCAACATGGTGAAACCTCATCTCTACTAAAAATACAAAAATTAGCTGGGCGTGGTGGCTTGCACCTGTAATCCCAGCTACTCTGGAGGCTGAGGCATGAGAATTGCTTGAACCTGGGAGGCAAAGGTTGCAGTGAGCTGAGATCTGCCACTGCACTCCAGCCTGGGTGACAGAGCAAGACTCCGCCTCAAAAAAAAAAAAAAAACTTAATATACCCAAATAAGGAAAAGAATGATACTAGAGAACAATTACTGAACATGTAAAGGGATCTTTCTATATAAAATTGGACATTATAATCATGTTTCCTAAATAAGAATTCTCCCACCATTTTCTACAAGGCTGTGAAATTAGATGTATTAAAACAAACCCAAAATAAAAATTTTTTGTTTTCACCAGTTTTTCCTAATTATAAAGTTTCTATGGAGAGTACACAGAAATTCCAATGAAGAAAAAAGCTGTTCTATGAAAAAGTTACATTTCATTTACAAAAACACTTATGTATACATAAGGAACTCACTACTACTTTGTTTAAATTTATTGTGCAGCCTCAACAGAAAGTCATTCTGTCTTGACAGGTAAGAATTTTTTTTTTGTTTTTTTTTTGAGATGGAGTCTTGCACCCAGGCTGGAGTGCAGTCATGCGATTTTGGCTCACTGCAACCTCCACCTCCCAGGTTCAAGCGATTCTCCTACCTCAGCCTCCCGAGTAGCTAGGACTACAGACGTGTGCCACCATACCCGGCTACTTTTTGTATTTTTTTTAGTAGAAACAGGGTTTCACTATGTTGGCCAGGCTGGTCTCGAACTCCTGACCTCAACTGATCTGCCTGCTTCGGCCTCCCAAAGTGCTGGGAATACGGGCATGAGCCACCACACCCAGACTAGAATTTTTTCAAATAAGCAATTGTTAACAAAAAATTCCACACATCAAATCTCAAAATTTTCTTCTGAGGAGAGACATATGATTCAAAATTGTAATACATATTCATACAACTTATTGCGAACGACCATATAAAGAGTTTACATTAATTATCACAGAGGAGTACATTTGTCAGGTTAATGATCCATGTTCTTCTTAAAAGTTATTTATAAAACATTATTTCTCCACACAGAAAAAAAAGCATAATGAACAATGAGTTGATTACTCACTGTACAGTCCAGTGAGCCACTCAAGGGCCCCGTGGGCACCAGAGACAAAGGTAGCAGATTGATTAACAGCTGAGGAACTCAAGATACGTTTAATAAGAGAAATTCTGTGGTCACTTAGGAATTTTGTAGTTCATTATTCATAATATTAAGGTTTTTTCAGCTGGATGTGATTTGAGGGAAAGAGAAAGCAATTAGTGAGGAAATGCATGAAAATACCTAAAAGGAATATTTAAAATGAGATTCATTAACTAAATTCCTAGGAATGTGAGCAACTTGTCACTTTCAAACTTGGCAGAACCATGCTCAGTCCCCATTACTCTGAAACTTTCAAACTCAGAAGCAATGTTAACCTTTCATTTTATTTCCTATACTTCCACAGAATTCTTCATGCACATGTACTAGTATGCAGAAAGAGTTAACATAGCAGGGGGCTGACTGCCATCCTTTGAAAGGCCTGGTTACAAAAGTGTCCCTTGGCTGGCATCTGGGAATTTGGATTTGGGGAGGGTTCTCACTATCCTAACTGGTAGTGTGCCTAAACTGATTATACAAACAATGCAGTTTATGCTGAACACCTGACCTGCTTTTCTTCAGGGAATCTAAAATTTTAGTATATGCCAGACAGAGGGTACCTAAGTGTCCAGCTCCCAGTAAAAACCCTAGGCACTGAGCCTCTAATGAGTTTCACTGGTTGGCAACATTTCACGTGTGTTGTCATAACTCACTGAGGGAATGAAGTGCATCTTGTGTGACTTCAGTAAAAGAAGAACTTTGGAGGCTTGCACCTGGTTTTCCTTTACACTTTGCCCAATACACATTTACCCTTTGCAAATTTTGCTTTGCATCCGTTCACAGTAATACACAAGAGCCATGCCTAGGACTATATGGTGAGGCCTGTGAGCCCCTCTAGCAAATCAGCAAATCTGGGAGTGGTTCCAAGACTCCCAACATATAAGTTATCAACTTAATGCCAAATTTACCCTTTTTTACCTGCTCTGTGAAAAATGTATCTGGCCCTTTAATATTCTCCCACCAGTTGGCACAACGGTAAGCTTTGTTGGTAAAAAGTGGGGAGAGGCCGGGTGTGGTGGCTCAAGTCTGTAATCCCAGCCCTTTGGGAGGCCGAGGCCAGAGGATCACTTGAGCCCAGGAGTTCCCGACCAGCCTGGGCAACAACATGGCAAAATCCTCTCTCTACAAAAAAGACAAAAAATTAGCCAGGTGTGGTGGCACGTACTGCAATCCCAGCTACTGGTGTGCAGGTGAGGGGCTGCTGAGGTGGGAAGATCACCAGAACCTGGGAGGTCAAGGTTGCAGTGAGCCGTGATGGTGCTACTGCACTCCAACCTGAATAACACAGTGACACACTGTCTCAGAAAAAAAAGTGCTGGAGGCCAGGCGTGGTGGCTCACACCTGTAATCCCAGCACTTTGGGAGGCTGAGGCGGGTGGATTGCTTGTGGTCAGGAGTTCGAGCCTGGCCAACATGGTGAAACCCCGTCTCTACTAAAAATACAAAAAGTAGCCAGTTGGGGTGGCAGGTGCCTGTAATCCCAGCTTCTCAGGAAGCTGAGGCACGAGAATCACTTAAACCCGGAAGGTGGAGGTTGCGGTGAGCTGAGATCACGCCGCAGTGAGCTGAGATCACGCCACTTCACTCCAGCCTGGGTTACAAAGTGAGACTCTCTCAAAAAAAACAAAAAGTGCTGGAGAGACACTGTAGGAAGAAAGGGTTTTGCTTCCTGATTCCAGTGTGCTTAGGGCTTCTCTAAAACCAAGCTCCTGAAATGCATGGCAGCTAGCAGCATCCAAGAGTCAGTAGCTTCCCCAAGGCCCCTTACCCTACTACATGGTTTTGTAATGGAGGACCTCTGATGAGATACTTCCCCATGAGGCTTTCTCTGGCACCCCAGTACCCCAAATGGCAAAACTATAGCCAGTGCCAGAAAACAAATTTACAAGAAGTTCCCTGGCAAGGCACTACAGTGACTTTTCTGCCATCCTGAGAAGCACAGCTGTGCCCTCTTCAATAAGGTATAGAACTCAGCCCAGTGAGGGGAACTCTTCCTTGGATACTCTTACTCCTAGGGGCAGTGGCTATTATGTAGTACATTATATAATATTAAAACTGTTATGATATTATATATCTGCTATTCTTTTCAGTTCTCCTTAATAATTCTCTATATTAAACTTTCCCTATTAAAATTATTGTATGACTTATCCCTAACCAGACTAATACAGAATCTTTTTTTTTTTTTTTTTTTGAGAGTCTCGCTCTGTTGCCCAGGCTGGAGTGCAGTGGCACAATCTCAGCTCACTGCAAGCTCTGCCTCCCGGGTTCATGCCATTCTCCTGCCTCAGCCTCCCAAATAGCTGGGACTACAGGCGCCCGCCACCACGTCCAGATAATTTTTTGTATTTTTAGTAGAGACGAGGTTTCACCGTGGTCTCGATCTCCTGACCTCATGATCCTCCCACCTCGGCCTCCCAAAGTGCTGGGATTACAGGTGTGAGCCACCGCGCCCGCCCAATACAGAATAATTCTTAACAAGTAATACTAAAATCACTACAAACCTGAAGAGATGCTCCCCCATACTATTGCAAATCACTTCATCATCAGGAAACAGTTCCAAGGCCTGCTCATAGCAACCAAGTAAGTCTTGTATCCGATTGAGAGCATCAAGCTCTTCAGCCCATCTGAAAAGTGTGTACTGAAAAGTTTCCTTTACAAATAAGAAAAAAATATGAATTAGTCAATAACATAACAGATGAAAGAATATACAACATTAGTTGAAGATTCCAAGCAACAGAACTTAATTACTATTGAACGATCACCTTCAATTTCATTTAGCTTTAGTAGGCACTGTTTTCTGAACAAGTGCACAAATGAATGAATTTTACCACCTACATGGCCATAATAAGCAGAAGTAGTCTGACCACTCTCTAAACTCCCTCCATTCTTAGATGCTGTATCACACTCTCCTTATTCTCCAGCTGCCTCATTTTTGTGGGTTCCTGTGTTTTTAGGGTTTGTCCTTGGCTCTCTTCTTTTTTCTCTCATCCATCCCTAATGCATTTATTATCACCCATGTGTTGATGGATGCTACGTTTACATCTCTAGTCAAGACCTTCTCTTCTGAACCTCAGACTCATAGATACAACTTCCTAATAGTCATTTCAACCAGGCAATGGATCTCCAGCCATTGCGAATGTAGTCCAACTAAAATATTTCCTGAACAATCCTTGTGCAAAGAACTGAGGCAACATAAATCTTGTTCTTATCCTCACAGAGGCCCTACAGAGAGAAATTTAACATAAAATTTTGGAAAAGTTCAAAATGTTCTAAACTGAACTCATCATATTCCCCTGATACAAGACATAAGATTAAGATACCACTCAACCTCAAACCATAAAATCACCTTATAATGGTACCTTAACTCCACATACACTGTTTCAAACCTAGCCAATGCTCTCTCAATATCTTTAAATCTGTTACCTCCTCTCCATCCCACAGTTACAACCTAATCTGGCCCTTCTAACCATTTGCTGGACTACAACAACAGCCTTAACGCTGTCACTCTAGTTCCAATCGCATCTGCCTCCAGCCATTCTCCATGCTGCAACACTGTGAAAAGACGGAAAGCTTTAGTCATTACAGCATTACCATTAAAACATTTTAAATCATCTTCACATATTTTATACAAAAGAGTTGATACTTGGAACTGAATCTTGAGGGAGTTTACTAGAGAGCCAAGGATAAGAAAGGAGATTCTGGCTGGGCATGGTGGCTCATGCCTGTAATCCCAGCACTTTGGGAGGCCAAGGCGGGCAGATCACCTGAGGTCAGGAGCTCGAGACCAGCCTGGCCAATATGGTCTAAAATATATAAAATATAAAAATTAGCCAAAGATGGTGGCAAACATCTATAATCCCTGCTACTCAGGAGGCTGAGGCTGGAGAATCACTCGAACCTGGGAGGTGGAGGTTGCAGTGAACCGAGATCGCACCACTGCATTCCAGCCTGAACGATAAGAGTGAGGCTCTGTTCAAAAAAAAAAAAAAAACCCACACAGATTATATGAAATGGATCAGAGGGTCTACAGATAAGTGGCTTGGTGTAGCTGGAGTTTGGGTATTGAGAATAGAGTAGCAGGAAATGAGATTTCTACAAGGGGCCCATACAAAGAAATACAATTTGTTCGGCAGGAAACAGAACTAGTTGCTTACCCTACTGAATTTCAGGCATCGCCCTACAAATTTTACATATACTTTTTTTTTTTTTCTTTTTGAGATGGAGTCACACTCTGTCACCCAGGCTGGATTACAGTGGCACGATCTTGGCTCATTGCAATCTCTGCCTCCTGGGTTCAAGCGATTCTTCTGCATCAGCCACCGGAGTAGCTGGGACTACAGATGCATGCCACCACGCCAGGCTAATTTTTTGATTTTTAGTAGAGACGGGGTTTCACCATATTGGCCAGGCTGGTCTCGAATTCCTCACCTCGTGATCCGCCCACCTCAGCCTCCCAAAGTGCTGGGATTACAGGCGTGAGCCAGCACGCCCAGCCTAAATATACTTTTAATACACAGCAATTTTTTTTTTTTTTTTTTTTTGAGAAGGAGTCTCGCTCTGTCGCCCAGGCTAGAGTGCAACGGCGCCATCTCGGTTCACTGCAAGCTCCGCCACCCAGGTTCACGCCATTCTCCTGCCTCAGCCTCTCCCAGTAGCTGGGACTACAGGAGCTCGCCATCGCGCCCGGCTAATTTTTTGTATTTTTAGTAGAGACGGAGTTTCACCGTGGTCTCGATCTCCTGTCTTCATGATCCGCCCGCCTCAGCCTCCCAAAGTGCTGGGATGACAAGCTTGAGCCATCGCGCCAGGCCAATACACAGTAAATATTTTTAAGACAGGCAGTGTCCCTGTTTCACAGAAGAGGAAACTAAGAAACAAGTAACTGAGGAAAGATCACTTGAGTTGATCCATTTTTCTATTGCTGCCTACCTACAGAAGCAAACTGTATCTAAACATATCATCTCCTCCTAAAGTAGGCCAGTTGGTCCTGAAATTTACACCAAGTTTACATGAACTACAAACATCTAGACGCTACAGACATTTAGTAGGTAGAGATGAAGGATGCTGCCAAACATACTGCAATGCACAGGACATCGTCCCTCCCCCCATAACAAAGAATTATCCCATTCAAAATGTCAATAGTGCTGAGGTTGAGAAACCCTCAGTCTAAATAAAGCAAAGTAATTGCAAATTTAAGTTAAATCATTTTTCATAATTTAGATTCTAAAAGTACTTGAAAAAAGTACAGCATTTCAACAGAATAACTGTTGCAAATAATCCAATAATTGAAGTTTAAGGAATGCATCATTAAATAGTAACCACTTTAGGCTAATTACACTTTATTCAACTCGAGGCCCGCTATATTCCTACTACACACAATATGACAAATCCAAAAGCCCTTAAGCCAGGGCATGCTTAAATTAGATATAGGGAGAAGAGGATCACGTGAGACCTCATTTCCAATTCGAGGGCCTTTAGAATTCTAAATGAGATGGAAGTTTTGAAACTGAGAAATGACAACATTTGACTTTTGTTGCAAAAACCTAGCTATGTTGACACAGACTGCAGGAGAGAGCTCAGTTGAGAGCCGACTGCAACAGCTAGCAGATGACTGAAGCTCAAACCAGGGTAGTAAAGGGGAAGATGGTGAGAACTGATTAAGATTTCTGGACATATTTCGAAGGTGAAGACGGCAGGATTTTCCTCCGGGCAGGTCGCAGGTGTGAATAAAAGAAAGGTGTCAAGGGTGAACAGTAAATATTGATAGCAACCACCTAGCCAAGAATCCTGGCCCCTCCGCCTTTTTTTTTTTTTTTTTTTTTTTTTTTTTTTTTTTTTTACGAGAACGTTGGATCTGCCAGCAAGTGAGAAAAAAGGACCCTCACCTTCACGCTGTCTTTTAGCTCCGGCGCCAGGCTGAGCACGAGGAGGTAGTGGGCATAGGCGGTGCCGAAGTCCTGGACGCCCAGACAGTGCTCTGCGCTCTGCAAGGACCGCGACACCAGCTCGTCCCGGCCGGCTGCCCCAGCGCCACCCCCGGCGTCTCGGCGGGACCTGAGCCGCGAGTTTGACATGGCAGTCACCACTTGTATGGCCAAAGGAAAGATATTTTGTAAACGGGACTAGAAAACTGTCTCGATGCTACACTTCCAGGGACCAGACAGGTGCTCAAGTACCTGTACAGCAAAGTTACCCTCCGCCGCGGGTAAACAAGCCCACCAGAGCACAGCCGGAAGCTCCGCCCCGTCCTGGCTCCGCGAGCGGCGCAGACCGTGACGCACACCCCGCTATTGCGGACCTGGCCGGCGGCGCACGCTTCGCGAACGTCAGCGTACCCGACGTGGGCACGTCACTGCCGCCCACTCCCGCAGAAGCGACCACTGCGCGTGCGTATAGGAGAGCCCCTGTGGCAGGACCTGTCCAGCCTCGTGCCCTTTTTTTTCCCTGCTGAAGCAGACCTCTCTCTCCCTCTTGCACTCCGAGAGTGTGTGGCTTTCGACTGCAAGACCTTGTTGTACAGACCCAGGCAGTGCGGAGCGCCACCCGCTCATGAGGGACGGTCAAGCATTTGTGATGATGCTTAAGACATTTTGGATCGTGATGCACAAAATTTCAAGACCGGAAAGAACCTGGACATAACAAAAGCACCTCAGACGTGTTAGAGGAAATACTTTCACAGGCATTTCAAATCATTCTCACAAAACTTGGCTAGGTGGACCTTTGGATCACACTCGTCTTTTTTTTTTTTTTTTTTTTTTGAGACGGAGTCTTGCTCTGTCGCCCAGGCTGGAATGCAGTGGCCGGATCTCAGCTCACTGCAAGCTCCGCCTCCTGGGTTTTCACCATTCTCCTGCCTCAGCCTCCCGAGTAGCTGGGATTACAGGCGCCCACCACCTCGCCCGGCTATTTTTTTTTGTATTTTTTTAGTAGAGACGGGGTTTCACTGTGTTAGCCAGGATGGTCTCGATCTTCTGACCTCGTGATCCGCCCGTCTCGGCCTCCCAAAGTGCTGGGATTACAGGCTTGAGCCACCGCGCCCGGCCCCACACTCGTCTTAATGATGGCAAACGTGATATCCTGAGAAGTGACTTGCTCAAAGTCACACAACCAGCTAGTGGCATAGGCATGGTTCAAATCCAAGTTCCCTGCCAACTATCTGTTCAGTTATAAGATGAGCTTAGGGGTTATTACACTGTTCCATGTCTTGTCACTGGATAGTGGTTACATTAATACAAAGACAGTTTTTCCACATTCAAGTATGGCCTCTAAGATACAGATTCCAAACTCTAAAAGGGAAGGGAGCATAGTTATTACGGCCGAAAAGTTATTTTTGTCCCAATTTTCAAATACGTTAATGGACAATATCTTCGATCGAGCATTTTGCATATCAAACTAATACACTTTGAGGGCTCCTCTAATTCTCAAAAACACGTCATGCCTTTTTGCCTTCTCTTCTGATCCAATTACCTGAACTACCCTTTTTTCTGAGCACTTGCCAGTGTAAACTCTAATCAGTTTTTTTAGGTTCCAGTTCACTAGATTGTGAGCTATTCTTAATCACTTTTGTGACCTTTGCACCTAGCGGATTATGATGCAAAGTAAGGACTTTGATTTTTTTTTTTTTTTTTTTTTTTTTTTTTTTTTTTTTTTTTTTTGAGATGGAGTCTTGCCCTGTGGCAGGCTGGAGTGCAGTGGTGTGATCTCGGCTCACTGCAACCTCTGCCTCTAGGGTTCAAGCGATTCTCCTGTCTCAGCCTCCCAAGGCGAGCGCCACCACGCCAAGCTAATTTCTGTAGTTTTAGTAGATGCGGGGTTTTGTTGGCCATGTTGGCCAGGATGGTGATTTTTAATTTAATGCAAAGGGCCAGCGCAGTGGCTCACGCCTGTAATCCCAGCACTTTGGGAGGCCGAGGCGGACAGATCACTTCAGATCAGGGGTTCGAGACCAGCCTGGCCAACGTGTGAAGCCCTGTCTCTACTAAAAAAAAATAATAATAATACAAAAATTAGCTGGGCGTGGTGATGGGTGTCTGTAATCCCAGCTACTCGGGAGGCTGAGGCAGGAGAATAGCTTGAACCCGGAAGGCAGAGGTTGCAGTGAGCAGAGTTCGTGGCATTGTACTCCAGCCTAGATGATAAGAGTGAAACTGAGTGTCAAAAATAACAATAATAATAATAATTTAACGCAAAGTATAGCCCCACTCCTAGGTTTTGCACGTAGACTTTTCCAACTATTCATGTTCCTATTTCTCTCCTATCCTTAATTGCTACTTTCTGTACAAAATAAATTAGGACTTAATGTATGATACTTCCTTAACGAAACTGAAACGTCTAAGGCTAAGGCCTTTCTATTCCTAGTAGGAATCAACAGAACATGAAAGGGCCATCGGACTTCTTAAAAAAGGGCATTCGAGAGCAAGCTTGGTCCTTTCTAGCCCATCCAATCAGCATTCCTTAGGATTATTTATTTTAAAAGGCCTATTAAAGCTACCTTTCCTACTTTAGTCACAAGAGCACTATAACCATCAAATGAGATAATATCTAGAAACATTTTTAATCTGGTATACATATAGAGTTAATGTTATCCATTGTTACTATTATCTAGAATCACTTAAAAATTATCTGGATGGCTGAGCACGGTGGCTAACACCTGTAATCCCAGCACTTTGGGAGGCCGAGGTGGGTGCATCACAAGGTCAAGAGATTGAGACCATCCTGGCTAACACGGTGAAACCCTGTCTCTACTAAAAATACAAAAAATTAGCCGGGTGTGGTGGCGGGTGCCTGTAGTCCCAGCTACTCGGGAGGCTGAGGCAGGAGAATGGCGTGAACCCGAGAGGGCGAGCTTGCAGTGAGCCGAGATTATGCCACTGCACTCCAGCCTGGGTGACAAAGCGAGACTCTGTCTCAAAATAAATAAGTAAATAAATAAATAAATCTGGATTATTAAAATAAAAATTAGGTTACTAACACCTGTAAGCATTTGATCAAAAGTGTATGCACCCATATCCTTTAAGTGTCAAATGTGGTTGACTGAAACCTCTTTTCAGAAAGCAGAAAGAAACCTCCCAGTCTTTCACTGCAGAAAAGTGGGTTGGAGATGAATCACTGAAACATCATCCTTCCAGTCACCTCTGTGAGTCCCTGCTTCAGCTGAATTACTTCACCTTACATATTATCTTGTACTCCAGGGCATGCTTTCTGCTTCCACAGGGGCAGGGTTTCTTTTATTTTGTTTTGCTCCATTTTGTTTTTTGGTCTGTTTGGTTCATTGAGATAACCTGAGTACCTGAAACACCTAGACTGCATGAAACTTATACTGAACATATTTCTACCAAGTCTGTGGAGGGCAAGAGATGGAGGAGGGGCTTGAGACGGAGTTTCATTCTTGTTGCCCAGGCTGGAGTGCAATGGTGCGATCTCAGCTCACTGCAACCTCCACCTCCTGGGTTCAAGTGATTCTCCTGCCTCAGCCTCCCGAGTAGCTGGGATAACAGGCAGCCACCACACCCGAATAATTTTGTATTTTTAGTAGAGATGGGGTTTCTCCATGTTGGTCAGGCTGGTCTCGAGCTCCTGACCTCAGGTGATCCACCCACCTCTGCCTCCCAAAGTGCTGGGATTACAGGCGTTAGCCACTGCGCCCGGCCAAATATTTGCATTTTTTGGTGGTTTATCTATAGCTTCAAGACATTCTGAACATAGAGTAGGTCATTTGAAAAAATGGAATGATACAAATAACATGGAACATCTGATCACCTTAAGAAACTGGAATTGGCTGGGTGTGGTGACTCATGCCTGTAATTCCAGAGCTTTGAGAGGCTAAGGCAGGAGAATGACTTGAGGCCAGGAGTTCAAGACCAGCCTGAGCAACATAGCAAGACTCCACCTCTACAAAAAATTTAAAATAAAAAAGTTAGCTGGGTGTGGTGGCACACACCTGTGGTCCTAGGTACTCAGGAGTCTGAGATGGGAGGATCTCCAAGGAGTTCAAAGCTTCA